GGCGGGGCGGGGCGGGGCGCTGGTGGACGTGGACGGGACGGGCACCAAGGACGGGGCGCTGGGAAAAGGAAGCACCACAACGCTGCCACACGGTCAATGTCACTCCGCGTCGCTAAAAATATTTCCCTGCGCGAGGACGCGCGATTTTCTTCTTTGTTTTCTCTCATTCTCTCAAACACACGCGTGCGAGCGCGCGCGCGGAAAACGGAAGGAAACCTTAAAAGAAACTTGATGTTTCTAGTGGCGGAATTCCGAAAAGCTATAAAAGATATTGGAACGTGCGGATGCAGCACGGGAGGGAGCTCCCCCGCCCCCTTCCTTATCTCCCCCCGCCACGCGCCCTCGCCAGCCTTCCCTTTGACTACCGGCGAAAGAAGACGTCACTATTTTGATACGCGGCGCGGCTCCCTGACGTGTGCTGGCCGCGTCCCAGATTTGCCCGGCGCTGCTACAGTGTGTGTGTGGAAGGGGTCCGCACGCCAGTGAGAGGGTGGTGGTGCTGCTTCTATCGGTGTGTTTGAGCGAAACTTCCTTCCGGCCCTCCCCTTTCCGGACCGAGAGGCTCCATCATTTTCCTCATTGTGTGGGCGCCTCGCCGCGCCTCGCCGCGCCTCGCTCGGCGCTTCGTCTACTTCCGTTGCACACTCGGCGCGCTTCCTGCGTGCGGTCCGCCTCCGGGAGAGGGGGAGGGGCGGGCGAGGAGTGGCAGATCGACAGTTTTACTGAAAAGGCAAATATATTATCGGCGCGCAACAACGCCGAGCCGCCGCAATAGATTCTCGTCGACGCGAATTTCGACTCGCGCCAACCTGCCAAGTTGAAAGGAATACCGCGGGCGCGAAAAGGCTCCGGCGAGCGGGCATTCAACGAGAAGCGGGAAACTTTGAAACAGAATACTGTTTTGTTGTTCGCTCGCGGTGCCAGAAAGGTGAGTTTGAGAACTCCACTTCAAAGGCACCGCGCGGCGCCGCCAAGGGAATCACACACGCGATTGGACCCGGTGCTCTCTGCCGGGCGGGGCGGGGCGGGGCGGGGCGAGGTGGGGCGAGGTCGAGCGGTATTACGCGGTTTGGATTTGGACCGCCGCCCGCCCGCTGTCTCTGCAGAGTGCACTCCACTCTCCGGTGATGCGATGCGCCGCCGCTGCACCGAGTGCGAGACGCACTCGCCGAGCGCCGCGGGGCTAGGTCTATAATAAGAGAAGCGGGATGGAGTCGGCCCGGGGGCTGGGTGGGAC